CATCGGGGGATTGGGGAGCTCCCCCCCTATCAGCCACAGAGCAAGGGCTGATCAAGAGGGTTTGGGCGCTGCCCCCTGTCACGCTGATCCCTGGTGCCGGGAGCCTCGCTGCTCCGCTGATCCCAGTGCTGGGAGGCATATTACCCTTTTACTATATAGGATAGAGGCCTGGTGCACGGGTGGGGGCTGGCTGGTTTGCCCTGAAGGGTGTCCTGGATCAGGGTGGGGGTCCCCACTGGGGTGCCTGGCCAGGCTGGCTGAGGGGCTGAGGGCTGTTTTCCCGCTGGCAGTTGACTAAAAGCTCCCAACCGCTCCTTGTTTTCTTTCTTTTTTTTTTTTTTATTCTGGGCCAGTTTTAGCTCTGAGGCCTCGCTGCTGAAAACATGGATACAATGTTGTGGTCTGGGGCTGACTGAAAGCCGGTTTTGTTTAGCTTCTTATTTGCAACATAGTAATAGTTGCTTAGAGTTGCAGTTGAGAGGCCGGCAAGTGAGGCGGGGAACGTTGGAGTCTGCAGTCCCTGGAGGAAGCAAGCCTCCCTGCTCGCTTCAGTGCATGGCTGCCGGCCGCCATCTTGGCTGACAGTTAATTTGCATAAGGATACGCTGATTAGCCAATGGGAAGGGTAGCGGTCGTACGCCAATTAGCATGTTTCTCTTTTATTAGTGTAGATAAAGAAAATGGAAACTAGAACTGGAGAATGAACTATGAATAGTGGAAGTACACAACTATATAGAATTAGAGATGTCCAGAAGCACAGTATCATCCAGATATGATCTCAAGTCAAATAAACTCCAAAATAAATATTATATAAGAACAAATATAAAAAACCAAAATAACAAAACAAAACAAGTCAAAGAAAATAAATGACCAAGTTGTCTGGTATTAATCAGATTATACTCTCAATTTTGATAATGCCCCATGATCTTTTGTTTCCTATTTTTTGTTTCAAGAGAAGCATGACTACTGGCTACTAGTATGATCTTGAACAAATTACTTGTCTAAACCTATTTCTTCATTTGTGAGGTGGGAGTAATTTGATCAAATTAAACATTGCATACAAAACTCTTATCACAGTTTCTTGCACACAGTAAAATGATAGTAGCTAATATTTTCACTTTTGCTATGGCTACTTTTTTTTTGTTAGCAAGCTCTGTAATGTCAACAAGCTAAACTACCTTTTCTCTCACAGACTGCCTGAGATTCCATACTATGCTGTTAGCTTCAGTAAATTTGTGATTAGAAAGGTACACTGGTATCAAGGATATCAGAAACCTTTCTTAACACATTTCGTACCGCTCAGGAGTTTTCTCGTGTTTTGCGTGCCATCTGTTAAGGACCGCTCACGAGTGTTCTCGTTTTTCACGCCCATGGAAAAAGGAGTGAATCTAGATACTTATGTAAATTTTGTTTGGTCCCTCTTTATAGAGGAAAATGTTTTACGCAGTACCATACGTTAAAAAAGTACTAGGAGCCGAAGCCGGTTTGGCTCAGTGGATAGAGCGTCAGCCTGCGGACTGAAAGGTCCCAGGTTCGATTCCGGTCAAGGGCATGTGCCTGGGTTGCAGGCACATCCCCAGTAGGAGATGTGCAGGAGGCAGCTGATCGATGTTTCTCTCTCATCGATGTTTCCAACTCTCTATCTCTCTCCCTTCCTCTCTGTAAAAAATCAATAAAATATATTAAAAAAAAAGTTTCATTTAAAAAAAAAAGTACTAGGAACTTTAATTGTTTAATTGTTTTTGTAAATAGAAATGTTATAATTATTGAAAAACAACACCTAAAGTGCATTATGATGATTTAAATAACGTGCAGTTTACCCAAAAACGTGCGGTCCCTGGCGTATGTCTTAGAGATTTCTATGTGGTACGCAATGTATTAATAATGTTCCTGGATAAAAAAATATTGACACTTCCACTCAAAATTCTTATTACATTTCAAATATGCATTCTATCACTAGCATACAAAGAACAGCAAATTGTTTTATTGTCTTATAGTCCCATTAAGGATCTTATTTTTGGTTCAAGGCCTCTACTTTAATTTTTGTAAATGCTCATGGTCATTCTTTTATTTGCTATCATTTCTATTTGCATAATTAGCTTTGCTTTGTTCTGTTCACTTACGTGACTTAAGTGCTCTCAAAATCTGATAGTAAATGAAGTTTAATCACTTCCTAAGTATTAAGTGTTCACCATATGCTAAGCACTGTACTGGGAATACTAATTTGGGTAAGGAATGGTTTCTATTTTCTAGAAGCCTATTGTCTAATGCAGATGTAATGGTACTGTTGTTGAGACTACTGGGAAAATTTTATCTTTAAAGTGTTATATTTAATGTATTTTGGTAACTTTTTATTTACATATCTGCAATTTTTGTACTTTCAGGAACTGGTAGCATAGATAAAGAGAGTAGACTTTGGATCCGGACTACATGGACTAGAACAGTGATGGCGAACCTATGACACGCGTGTCAGAGGTGACACGCGAACTCATTTTTTTGGTTGATTTTTCTTTGTTAAATGGCATTTAAATATATAAAATAAATATCAAAAATATGTCTTTGTTTTACTATGGTTGCAAATATCAAAAAATTTCTATATGTGACATGGCACCAAAGTCAAGTTAGGGTTTTTCAAAATGCTGACACGCCGAGCTCAAAAGGTTCACCATCACTGATCTATACTAATAAAAGGGTACTATGCTAATTAGACCGGACATCTTCCGGACGTCCTTCCAGACAAAGCCACAAGTGGGGGCCGAGGTGGTTAGGGGTGATCAGGCCAGCAGGGGAGGGCAGTTAGGGGCCATCAGGCTGGCAGGGGAGGGCAGTTAGGGGCCAGCAGGCCGGCAGGGGAGGGCAGTTAGGGGCCATCAGGTTGGCAGGAGAGGACAGTTAGGGGCCATCAGGCCGGCAGGGGAGGGAGGGCAGTTAGGGGGCGATCAGGCTGGCAGGGGGGAGCAGTTAGGGGG